AGTGATATCCCACTCTCCCTCAGTCTTCTTGCCTGAAAAAACAGAGGTAATAAAAACAAACAAAGAAACAAAGAATGTTCTGAGAGTCAAATTAACATTTTTCATGCCTTTAGCAAGTTTTTAAAATGTGCCTCAGTTCACCATGCAGTGCTTCCTTCACCACAGTCACTGAGACACCCACAGCACCTCCCCATCAGCTCCCAGGTAAAGACAGACCTGGGAACTGCTCAGGCAGCACATCTCAGTGTGAGGAGCTGCCTTCCTACAGCAAACCCTTGAGCCTTCTCGAGGCTGTGTGCTGCTGGGGCTGTTGGCACAGCTACACCTGCACCCAGCTCTTCTGCTCAGTCCAGCAGGGGTTTGCTGTTTGGACACACCACGTTCTCCTGATGGGAGGTTTGGGATTATGGCAAGACAAAGCTTTCTGGCTCCCCCCAGAGCAGCCCCAGACTGCTCTGCTGTTCTAGCAGAAAGTGCTGTGTGTCTCCAGGAGAGGGAGTTTGTGCTTCATCTCGTTTTCCACGCACTTGCACAGCTGTAAACATAAAGGCAGAATACAGCAGCTGTTTCCTTTTCTTGTTCCTCAGAGCAGTCCCCCCATCTTTGCCTGGGCCCCTTACCATGCTCAAAGCAATGGCCACGTGTGATTTGTATCAGGAGTCAAAGGGAAAATGGAGTTGTTTTAAAAAGCAGCACCTGTGTGTTGACAGAATCATGGAATCACTGAGATTGGAAAAGCCCTCCCAGACCACAGAGTCCACCCTGATCCCCACCGTGTCCCCAGCCCAGAGCTCCGAGTGCCACCTCCAGGAATTCCTTGGACACCTCCAGGGATGGGCACTGCAAACCTCCCTGGGCATTTCCAAGGCCTGAGCTCCCTTTCCATGGGGAAATTCCTGCTGCTGTCCCCCCTGAGCCTCCCCTGGCCCAGCCTGAGGCCGTTCCCTCTCCTCCTGTCCCTGTTCCCTGGCAGCACAGTCCGACCCCCCCGGCTGTCCCCTCCTGCCAGGGACTTGTGCAGAGCCACAAGGGCCCCCTGAGCCTCCTTTGCTCCAGGCTGAGCCCCTTCCCAGCTCCCTCAGCCCCTCTTGGAGCTCCAGACCCTTCCCCTGATCTGTTCCCTGCCCTGGACACGCTCCAGCCCCTCCATGTCCTTCCTGTCCTGAGTGTCCCAGAGCTGCCCCCAGGACTGGAGGTGCCCCAGCAGTGCCAGCACAGGGGGAACCCCCAGTAACACAGGCCTGAGCCCTTCATTTATACTCACCTGGCCCTCAAAGGAGAGACAGCACTGGGATGAAGGCCAGGGGAAGCCATGCCAGAGTATTCATGGAAATCCTCAGCTCAAAGTGCTCCTGACAGAACAGGCAATGATGCAAATCTGTGTTCCCCCTGCTTGATCCAGGCAGGGATGGGTTTGAGCTCATCCAAACCTCAAAGCTGGTCTTGGAGCTCCCCAGACACATAATGACCACAGCAGAGCACAGTGGGATTTTCTGGGTGCTGTATGGTCCTTGTTGAAGATCTAAGAACCTCCTCGGCCATGCCAGTGGGCACAAAGGTGTGAGGAACTGGTGTGAGGTGCCAGTCTGGGCCACTAAGCACAGCCAGTGGCCAGTGGCTCCAAGTCTTCTGGGAGAATGGTCCAAACAGAGTCTTGGCACTGGGCATGGAAACCAGGGCAGCCTCAGAGCCCGTGTGCTGGTACAGAGGGAGAGCCAGAACCGAGCCCTGCAGACCTGGCACTGATGGCCAAAGGAAAATTCCCAATTCCAGGGCTGGAGAAAGCCATCACACATCACTCAGGCAAGGAGTGATGGAATTGTCCAAGGGCTGTCAGGAGCAGTAGCAATGGCCCTGTGCAGGAATGGATCCTGTTGGAGACACCAGCAGCATCTGGAACAAGCTCAGATTTTTTCTGTGCTGCTTCAGCAGTGACACGGTGACAACAGGATCCTCGGTGAGGGCAGTGAAGTTCCTACAGGCAGGAAAGAGTCCAGAGGGAGAATGGAGCATGTGTTCAACGAAGAGCAGTTGAGAGGGACTGAAATGTCCATAAATACATTCCCTCCAAGGGAAGGACCATCCCTGGTGTGTGCTCAGATTTTGTCTTCACCAAACAAGGGATCTTGGATTCTGACTGAAGAGTGAGGACAGCAGGTGACCCAAAAATATCCAAAGTATTGTGCTGGCAACAAAAAGCTCCAGAAAAAGGCTTGATGTGGTGGGAACACAGAATTTAGCCAAACTGACAAGAGCTACATGAACCTTCCACACTGTGAATCTCTACACAGCAAGAACTTCAGCTCCGTTTGTCTTCCCTGCCTCCCTTCTCCCAGCACAGCTCCCACCCTCCAAGTGACCCTGCTGCTGTCAGGTGATCCACCCATTCCCAGCTATTCCTGGTCCTGAGGTACACCATGACCAGTGATCCCTGCAGGATGCTCTGGCTCTCCCCTCTCTGGGCTGGCCACTCCTGGATGTCCCACCCAGCCACGGCAGCAGGACAGGCACTCGTGACCGGGCCTTCTCCCCCGACACTCTTCCTTCCCAGTGGGGTTCCAGTTCTGCCCACTTGACTGGGCAGATTCCAGGCCCTCCACAGCTTCCAGGCAGAAAAGACATCCCAGCACCAGGCAGGACTCACCCAGGACTCTGAAACCATCTGGGTTCTGCAGACCTTGGCTGCTCTTGCAAAACTAAAGCAGCCATCAGAGCTGGGAGCAGCAGCTGCCCTTCCCCTGGAGGGTGGGCACGGCCACCTGCCCTCCTCACAGGGACAAGGTGTCCTGAGCCACCAGAACCTCCCTGTGCTGCAAAAAGTGCTCACTGAGAGGTGCCTGGACACACCGAGGGTCCAGCAGCGTTCCAGAGAGAGAAAATACATCCAGAGCTCCCTACACCTCTTTAGTTTGGCACAAGAAGATGTGAAGGTTCCAGCTGGAGGACAGGCCTGGAAGGCAGGTGAACCACAGCTCTTAGTGAACCTTCCCATGCACATCTGACCTTACAAAATGAAAATAACAAGGTCACAGTCGCATCTTAGTTTTATTACAACTGACCTGCAGGCAAAAGAATAGAACTATTACATAAACACTCTGATCCATGTATAATAGCTTAAATAGAGGAGGAAGTCAAACCAGGATACCGGATAAAATATTCGGAAGCTCTTTGAAGCAGTTTTGTTCCTGAGCTTCATTTTACAGACAATAAGGCAACATCCCTGCACATCAGCTTTTTGATATTTTTATACAATTTTTCTATGGTACAAGAAAAAAAAAATAACCAGAATTCACAATGTACAGTTCTTACACTATTTTCACAGCTTCTGAACACTATACACCTTTTTTTTTCTTTTTTTTTTTTTTAATAGATACATTGCAATAAATGGTGCACCCTTAATAATTTATAATAATCTATGTTGAATAGGCTAAAGCTGTCCTGTACAGCCACCCAGGCAGCAGCACCTCACTCCTGTCACTGGCAGCTCAAAGCTTTCCATTTCCATCCCCAGCAAATTGGTCCTGGAGATGAGACGGCCCCAGAGCACAGACCCAGCCATCCCAACAGGGTAGGGCAAGGCAGTCCCGTTGTGTTTTGGGAGCTTCCATCTCAGTGCTGGCCCTCTGGCAGGCTTTTGGGTTCTCTGTCCCCGGGAGAAGTGTCAGATTTCCCCCCTGAAGGGAGGAGCAAAGCCCCACATTCGGCTGCCCCTCCTGGGGCTGGGTCTCCTCGGCCCCCACAGCCAGCACCCCCGAGACCTGGAGCAGCTGCAGGCCCTTTCCAGGGGCTGAAGGCTGGAGAGAGGAATCAGCTCCAGGGGGATTTGCCTGAGAAGGGCTCTGGGGGTGGGGACAGAACGACCACTTCAGCCATGCCCGGGCTGCAGGATGCACAGAGCTGTCGGGAAGGAGCAGTCACTGCAGAAACCTCTGCCTTGTCTGCTTTGGAAGACTTTGGTGACTGCCTTTCCTGAGGAGCAGCCCAAGAGGAACAATCCATGAAGGGCAGGACCAAGGGATCCCAGGGGATCCCAACAGCGCCAGCCTCGGTGCCAGCAGGAGCACCAGGACGTGTCACCTCTGTGGCCCCCTGACACCAGCTGTGTCCCAGGCACGGCCTTGGCTCCCAGCTGGGATGTGCTGCTTGGTCTTCTCTGCCTCGGGCTGCCTTGCACAGGTGGCTTTGGTTGGACGTGGGGAGCCCTTCCTTGGGGAACCTGCCAGCACCACGGTGTTTTCATTCCCACCGCGCCGGGCTTGTGGCCGAGCTCTGATGGGAGCTCTGATCCGACACTGATGAAGTCCTACCAAGCACCTAAATCGGCTCAAAATGGAAAGCAGAGACCCTGCAGCCTCCATTTTATCCCTGGTGTGCTACTGAACACCTGAAAACTGCAATATTTGGGGGGGAAAAAAAAGGTTTTGGGAAAAATTAATCTTTGAAAAATAGGTCAATTAAACAAACAGAAAAGCCTGATGTGCGGTTTCACTCAGGAATGGACCAGAAGACAACAGCTTGCCTGGCCTTGCTGGACCAGCTGAGAGGAGTTAGATGCTCCTTCACCTCATCTCCTTCTGCACCCAACAATCTCAGAGAGGTTTGCTCTGGGTGCAGCACAGGAGCTGTAGAGGTCACAGAAAAGGTTCAGTCTCCAGTGGTGGTGAATTGTCTTCAGCAAGCTCAGCAGGGTGTGGTGGGCACAGAGCCCTGTGGCAGCCAGGGCCACCCCTCCATCCTGCCTGCAGTGGCCAGAAGGAAGAGCTCAGGTTTGGACTCAGGAGCTCAGGGACGTGGGGCTGGGAGGGCTGGGTTGGGCCCCAGGCACGAGCAGCAGGGCTGGGGACAGCAGGAACACGAGAAACACTGGCCAGGACTCCCAGCCATCATCAGCTGGTGGCCCATTCCAGCAGCTGCAGCCTCTGTGGATGGCACTGGGTGAAGGCAAAGCAAAGCCAGTGGGTGGTGAGCACTGTGCACTATAAACCAGGTCAACAAGCAGGTTAAATTCAATCAAGTAGTTTAATAATTCTTCAGGTCAAAGGTCTTATCTTACCAGGTAACAATTTACAGGACACCTAGTTAAGAGTGAAGAGTGGCTGGCTTGGTAAAAGGAGGAAGAATACATTATGTCCCATCTCAATAGTTTAATGTTAGCCTCTTTCAACGCAACATATTTTTGGTAAAGACATATTCACTATATTTAACATGATCTCTCTTTAACAGGAAGTTCAGCTGAACACACTGTCCCCAGAAAGTACACTGCGACTGTAAAGCAACAGAATTTCATAGCAGTAAATCTATTGCACTTTGTGAAGAATAAAATTCTCCTTTGCCTTTCCAGCTCCAGAAGGCAAAGCATCTCGTTGGTTAAGCAAGTTCTTCTCCCTCCAGGCAAAGTCTCTTAATGTTCAGACAGACAACGCCTAACTTTTGTTTGTTTGCTTTTTATTATTACTTGAAACAACAATCGGAAGAGTTTGAGAGAAAAATCTTTCCAGTAGCTGCTGAGAAGTCTCCAAGTTTTGAGTCTAGAAATGAATTTTAGGTGCTATCCAATCACAGTCAACAAATAAATGTACTTATTTCCACATTTCATGAATATGTCCACAAAAGAGCAAGATGAGGTCTCTCTGTGACCAACACTAACACTGTGTGATCAGGTATTACAGGGATGCACTTTATATGTGACAACAGTATACAGACAGGATGGAAATAACACCAATATTATTGCACATGGTGTCTGGGCGAGCATTAAAAACACTGCAATATGTGATGAAAATTCTTTACAGCTTGTTTTCTCTCAGCCCTTTTTCTAGAGTTTGATGTAGCAGCAGTATCAATCCACGTACATTGGAGAGCTGGGAGTTGCTGGCATTTGATCCAGGATTTTACAAACATAGCATGCAACATCCACTGTGCGTTCCTCATACATCAGGATGAAGGGATGTTTCTGGAAGCAGATAAAAAACAACAGTTACAGTCACCCTCCTGGCATGTGCTCCTCAGATAAAAACTGAGCAGGTGAATTTGTCTGGTGCAAGAATACGCTTTGTGGTGGCTGTAGGACACCAGGACACAGCCTGGAAGATGGCTTTTCCACATTGGGAATCCATGTCTTTAACATGGGAGGTTACTGAGGCAGGACAGGACTGCAGAGTGTCAGGAGCTGACAGGGAGGAGGGACTGAGGGTGCAGCATCAGCAGCTCCTCTGTAGCACTGACATTTACTGAAATACTTTCAGGAGAGGTTTCATCAGCAGCATTGTCACACTGGGGAGAGTGACAGGAGTGACAGGGAGTAGCTTGCAGAGATCAAACCCAAGCTCTGCTCTCCTGAGCCCTGACCCCTCTGCTCTGCCCAGCAGGTAGCACTGGCCAGACCCAGATCAGAGCAGCTGGGACAGAACATCTGAGAGGTTCTGGGCCAGGACATCAGGCTAACCCCTTTTCACATCAGGTGATGTAAAACCCCAGGGCTGACTGTGGAAGCACAGCCTCTAAGAGGTGCCTTCCAGGTGTCCAGAGCTCCTTGAAGGTGCACAGCTGCCACATGTGGCTGATCCAAGCCAAAAGCATTGCTGCCCTCTCTCCTTTAGCACCTCCACCACAACAGGCCCTGCTGCTGCCCAGCTCCAGGGTTCTGCTCCTTCAGATCTCACTTCTGCCTAAGCCCAGCCCCGTGTGAGCTGTGTGTTGGAGCCATTGAAAGATGCAGCACTGACAACTCACCAGAAGCTCTTTGTACTTTGGCCTTTTGGACTCGTCCTTTGTAAGGCTAAAGAAAGCATAAAGATAATTAGGAGAATGTGGGATCAGGGAAAATGTTACAGACATCAAAAAAACTTTTACAGGATGTGATGCTGTCACAGTGGGACTCACCACCTCTGGTTTTCTGGAAAACCCATCCTTGCACTGTGAGTGACCACAGGAGTAACTTCCTTCCCTCCTTCCCTCCCTTGCAGCCATCCCTGTGCAGGCAGGGGCTGGGGATGTGTCTGACACAAACTTCCCTCCTTACTGTGCCTCTCTAGCACAGCATCTCAGAGGTTTTCTTCTAATTCCTTTCCTCAAGAGCAGTTTCCAAGTCCCAACCCAGACAAATGCCCCATCACCTCCAAACCACTAAAATGAGAGAGGTCCTCCCTGTTATGCTGGTGCAGGAATGTGAGAAGAAGCCAGAAGTGCTGGACACATGATCCTTGCCAAACACCAGCCAACAAAATGAGCCAACCCCAAGTGCTGTCAGCAGCACACAACTCACCACAAGTTGACGAAATTGATGAAACTTGGGGAAAATTCCCTTTCCTCTGAGTTACTCAGCTGTGGTGGGTCTCCTTTCACTACTTGTGTCAACTGGTCAAACACACTGTTCCACTTGGGGTAGGGGAATCGCCCCGTGGCCAGCTCGTACTGCAGGGAGACAGCAACAATACCAGGCAGGTTTACATCAGGGAAAAAAATGTCTGCAACAGCCTTGAACCCCCCCAGAAGAAAGACTGAGATGAGATTCTTCATCCTATTCCCTGTATGATTCTAAGCAGGGGGAAGGTTTTAGCCAGCAGTGAGTTCTGCTGCCTGTGTGAGGGCCAGATTTACCCTGACCAGGTTTCCGTGCCAGCCATGTCTGCTCCTCTACTGAATATAAAACAAACCAGTGTGGGAGAGCAAAATCCTCCAGTCCCTTCCCAGGCATCCTAACAACCACTAGGGAAAATGGTTAAGAACAGATTAGAGTAACACAATCACATGATCCCTCAAGTTGGAGAGGACCCATAAGGATCCCTGAATCCAACTCCCTGCTCCTCACAGGATAATGAAAATGAGTTTTTCTAAACATCAGTGGTGAAAACAGAAGCTCCTGGTCCATACTTAATTTCTTCTGCTTTCACTTCTGCTTCACAACCTGGAGAAAGTAAGAGCTTCTCACTGTATCAATGTGTGCAGCTAGCAGTGCTGTGGTTAAAGCCAGCGAGGAATCAGAATCCCAGAATCCAGGATTAACCAAAGTCTCTGTGCAGCCAAAGCACAGCAGCTGCCAGGGCTGTCAGAGGCCGATTCACACAGGCTGGGTGCTCTGCTCTGCACCACCACACTCAGCACCCTCATCTCAGATTCTGAACACAAAATAAATTTACAACCCAACGCCTCTTCCCTGCTCACATCTTGCTCTCTGCAAAACAGAGAGAGAGAGAGAGGAGGAACCATTTAGTGGAAAGCATCCCGGCTGTGCCTGAGCCAGGAAGGGCCCACTTCAACCACAACACAGCAAGGAGCTGGGCTGTGCTGCCCACACTGCAAAGCCCCTCACTTACCAATGTAATCCCCAAGCTCCAGACGTCCGAGCGCACGTCGTAGCCTTGCCTGGACGCGCTGGGATCTATCCTTTCCGGCTGAAACGGCAAGAAGGAGCGGTCAAGCTCTGTGCTGTGCAGGGAACAATGAGAAACATCTGCAAACCTAAAAGAACTCTGAGCCTGGCACAGCTCCGGAGGCAAACCTGTGGCCAGGGCAGCCATCCAACCCCAGCAGAGAAACATCTCAAGGAATCACTTAAAACACTTTCTTATGGATTTTTATGGATTTTTTATGGAGGTGCAGTGTAAAAGGTGATCAGAAATGGCAACTTATCACAGTCCAATGCTTCAGATCTTTTTTCTTTTGCACAAACACCTTGAATAACTGTGACTGTCTTATTTATTTAGTTTTGTTCAAGTTTGGGATCTCTTTAACACAAAGTCTCACTTTCTCTGTTTTCACAGCCAAGTTGTTCCCAAGGGATTGTGAGAACTGGAATCAACATCTCATCCACCACCCTGGGGAGTGAGGCTTAGCAGCATGTACCAGAACTCTTCTCCCCAACCAGCTACTAAGAAACTAATAAAAACAAGGTGCTTTAAGAAAAGCTCCTCTGAACATGGTTTTAATCATCCCTTAAAGGCAACTATGATGTTACAAGGCTTTAAGACATCCAAAATGTCTTTCATAGAAAGCAATATTGAGCCAGACATGGGTGATTCACAACTTAAGAGCAAGTTACCCAGAGAGGTGAGCCAGCAAAAAACATCTTTATGCCTTGCATGTCATCTTTGTAAGAAACCTCAGTCTGCCTTCTTTAGTTAAAAATAGAGTAATTAACATGTCAAAATAAACATGCTCTCATTCAGTTTTGACTACAACAATACTAAAGATACCTACATAGCAATAAATTCTAAATTATGGGGTACAGGAAGTACTCTGAAAGCCCTGGTTGCTTTGTAAGCTACATTTTAATAGAATTCCATTGAAATGCAGCTGAGAAGTGCAGCAGCAGGTGGCCCAGCCCTGAACTCTACTGGGGACACACCATGATGTCTGGAAGCTGCCACCAGGGATGGACCAGCTCAGAACACAGAGCAGAGCCAGGGTGCCAAGGCTGCAGATGAAGGAGGGAACTTGCAGAGGGACCAGCTGCTCCGGGCAGGGCCAGTCTGCTCAAAGGGACTGGTGGGATGGGTGGCACTGGTGGGATGGGTGGCACTGGTGAGACAGAGCTGGTTGTCCCAGGCACCCATGAGGGGCACCCTGCTCCTGTGACTGAACGGGGATTTGGCCCTAGACCATGGTGGCACAGTTAGAGGGAAAGCAGGACGGACCAAAATAAATCCCATCTAAATACAGAGCAGGAAGAATGCTGAGAATTTTCCATGTAGATCACATGGGAGCAATTAACACCAAGCAAGGAAGAGTCACCATGTCACCCTCTGGGGACCTGGAGCAAGGGCTGCAGACAAAGCCCAGCCCAGGCCAGGTGTCCTTCTGGTGCCAAGTGCAAGCAGAAAAGGAAAAAGCTGAGGTGCAGACCCATCTCTGGATGTGCTGATAGGGTGAAGGGACAGGGTATGGATGCATCAGAGAAGGGTACAGGCTGCCACAGGGCTTCCCCAGTTCAGTGTCCACCTGAGCACCAGCATCTTGACTGGAAAATGAGCAGTGGGCACAACAGATCCTCCCTCTCTTCCAAATCCCAGCTATACAAACACAGCCATACACAGCCTGATCTCTGCCTGAACCACCTGGACATAAGACATCCAGCTGACCCTGACAGCAAGGCCAGCAGCAACTGTCCACCTTCAAGGAGGAGTGAGAAGTTTGCAGCCAGAGGCTCCAAGCTAACCTGGGAAAAGGACCTGAGTGACCAAGGATGGAGGTGACACCATCACAATCCACTCCTGGAGGCCTTGAAGGAGCAGGGCAGGGCAGGACATCCATCCTCACACTGGCTGGGTCTGCCCCTCCCTTAACCAAGCACTTCAGTCTCACCCTTCCTCCCTGACACGGGCACTGGGTTCACTGGGGCATTCAGAAGGCAAAAACCAGCAATGAGGCCACCAGAGCTCCAGTGTGGCACATGGAGCCCACTCCCAGCAGCATCCACACAGCCAGAGACAAGGCAGGGAGCACAGGGAGCAGCACTCAGGGAGGATGCAGGGCTGGCCAGCAGCACCCACTGCTGGGTGAAGGCTGTGGAACTTCACCTGGAGCAAACCCCAGTGCTGGCACCAGCACAGGGCACGGGTGAGGAGGGTCCAGAGCAGCCCAGACTGCTCCAGGGCCAGCAGCTGCCTGGGAACTCAGTCCTACCTTTCTTTCCTTCAGAGAACACGAGGTACCAACATTTACAGGCCTTTGCTCACTGTAACAATGGTGGAGAAGCTGAAAGCCAAAAGCAAAACAACCTCTCAGCACCACAGCTCCAAGGCTGAGGCGCCGCTCGCTGTGACAGCTCCAACAATTTTGGTTCAAGCACACAGCACTTGCTTGGCAGCTGGACATGGCTCCTGCTGCCTCCTCAGAGCGCTCCCAGCCAGACTGGCTGACATCCAGGGTCATTGTTACCAACAGCTATGTGGGCTCCTTCAGGGAGCAAGTGCCATGGGGTTGGTGGGCCTTGCAAAACGAGACACTATCATCATGGAAAAGCAGCCAGCAGAGCCTCCCTGGCTGAACAGAGCTACTACTCTTGACCTATTTTACACTAAAAAAAATACTATTTTCCTTTTGAGAGGAGTGTGGCAGCCTGAGTCCTTCCCAGGTATATCCAGTCTGATCACAGCATCCCTTCAGGCATCAGCCTCTGCTGGCTTGGAGAAATAGCTGGCAGATGTGCCTGCACACTGGGGACATCTCCCCATTTCCCAGGCTCCCTGATACGTGGAAATGCTCATGTACTTGGAAAGGAGGCTGCAGAGCAGCAGGGAAGAGGCCAATCATCTCCCACATCCCTTGCCAGCTGCTGGCTGCCCCACAAACCCTGTGCCCTGCCAAGGCTCTGAAAAACACAAACCAAACTGCAACACTTTTGCTCACTTAAAAGTCCACCCAAGTTTGGAGCTGCTGATGGAGCTGCACAAATCACAGACAGACAGGATAAAGGAAAACCAAAGGGCTATGGAAGCACTGACCCACCTACACCCCAGGAGAAAAGGAGCACTGCAGCTATTTACAGACATCTCAGGGACTGTCATGGCATAACTACACCAACAGCCTGAGCAGAGCTAACCACCTACCCATGGCTCAAAGACCAGAGTCAGGGCAGACAGGTTTTGCCTGGACAGGACACCACAGCCAGAGAAAAGCCATCTGAGAGGCATGGCCTGAGTCAGATGGGAATCATACCTTAAAAGATATTTTCCTTTTTTCTACTTGGTGGTAGATTAAAAGTTCAGAAAACAGTATTTTTCAGCATACAGAGCCATAAATATATAACCAAAATTCAAGACAGGCACTAAAATTAAAGTTATATGAACACCAGCAGGCACACAGCTCCCTGCACAAGGTTCATGTGAGAACAGAGATGCATTTTCAAAGCACCCTGAAGTACTGAACTGTTTAAAAACCTCAGACAGCTTCCAAAATCACCACTGCAGCTTTTCTCTCTGGGAGGGGGAGGGCAGCAAACAAGCAGGACAGACTCCCAGGAGCCACAACTCAGCCCCAGCAATTTCCACACAGCTGCTCTGCTACTGCCGCTCTCCAGAATCACATTCTCCTGGAATGAAGTTCTGGCACACTTTGGAATTAAAGTGGTTTACAAAAATCACTGTAATTCTACTCTGCAATAACTCCTGTGACATAATCTTACCAGAGCAAATGGATTTCTTGCAGACCAAGACAAGCCCTGCACCCCTGGGCAATGGTGTTTTGGAGCTGGAGGGCACAGAGCTCCCCTCCACTCCAGCACCACAGCCATGGCAGCAGCAGAGGAACCCAGCAAAAAAACAGCAATTTGGTCACTTTGCCACAGCCTGGATGAGACTGCCACAGCAGCACTCCATCCAGAGCTCAGTTTCATCCAGGAAAGGGGTGCTCATCCCACAGGAAACAGGCTGATAACGGGGAGGGTGAGATCCCACAGAGCCCAGGGCTCATCCCACTCACCGCCATGTACGGCCGGCACCCTGCATCCCGTGTTTTGGCAATGGAGTCCACGAGCTGTCCACTAATGCCAAAGTCACAGAGTTTAATATTTCCATTTCTGTCCAGAAGAATATTGGAAGGTTTGATGTCTGCAGGAGAAAGAAATTTAAAGCAGTAAGTCACGGCTGGAGGTTTCAATTTCAAGCAGAGCAGCTGCAGAGGATCGAGGCCAGCAGCGCCGCACCGTCACCTTTGGCACCGGATCCTGCACGGGAGCACGAGGGGATGGAGCCAGCCCTGGAGATGCCACGTGCCCAAAGGCAGAAGCAGATGCCCAAACACCCTGAAATCACTGACATGGAAAAAACACGGGCTGAAAGGGCAACAGAACAGACACTGGGACACTCGTTCAAAACCTGCACTCAGACTCGTGGCGGTACAGGTGCCCTGCTTACACTCTGAGTGAACCAAGGGCTGCTAACAATCCTTGCAATTATTTTAATGGACAAGAAGAAAAAGTATAAACTTAAAAAAAGACACAAGGAACTCACCTCTGTGAATGATTTTCAAGTTTTCTTTTAAGTGGTTTAGTGCTTTCACAGTCTAGGAAAGAAAAATAGATGAAAAATAAGCAGATGTCGTAAGAGTCCTGTGATTATTAAATTTTTGGAACTCCAAGTACAGGGGTAAAAAGCATTCAGTACATTGAAATATCAATGCTATAATATGCCACGTAACAAAAGCATTTTTTCTCTGAACCTTTTCTGCAAACAGGTGATATAAGAGAGAGTATGGGCTCAAGTGAACATACATCCCTTGTGACCTGCAAAGATCCCACTCTGGGAGAGGGGAGTAAGGGGTGGAAACAACAATCTCTGATGTTAATTATTCTGAGCAATAACTTATTTCAATCCCTAAGCTATATTTTCTTCAGTAAGTCACAACTGTTTCAATTATCTGACTTTTCATTAGGCCAGAACTTCCAGGTCATACCAAGAAAACATCAGCCAGGTTCTGCAGTGCTTTTGGGAGCCTTTGCACAAGACTGCCAGAAGCTTCTCTGATCTGGGCTGGTGCCTGTGCTGCTGGTGCTCCCATTCAAGCAGAGCAGGAAGCTGGTCCTGGGGTCTGTTTATGAACTGATTACTGACCCCAGGACCTCCTTTTACACCATGCAATACACTGTGGGAAAGTCATGAGCACACTAAGAACCATTCCCAGTGTGGTGCAAACAGCAACAGCAATTCTGCTCCACAGACCAACCAGCTTTTCACAGTGGAGTGTGATCTGAACAAGGATCTGAACTTTTCAATTATCTTCAAGAGAAAGTTTTAACAAAATACTCACAGCTAAAGTGATTTTGCCTAAGATTTCTTCTGGAATAACATCATCTAATACACTATATACATATTTGTAAAACTTATCAAACGAGGTAGACATGAGCTCCATACAGATCCAACAGTCACCCTGGAAAGAGAAAACAATGTGTGTTACTATGTTGAGATAAGAATGAGAAACACAAATCAGAGAGCATACAGAGATCTGTTGAATCCTATGAAATACATTAACAGCAGCGTGCATTTGATAGAAAGGATGGAATTCAGCTTGATTATTTTTAGCAATGAAAGACTTGCTCCCATTCACAGTAGAGATATTTACCTGCCCAGCTCACACCCAACATTACAGTTTAGATGTTTGAACCCAGATGAATCCAAGCCTCACACACTGTTCTGCTCTCCAGAAGGCTGCCGGCACCGTGGAACACCCAGAAGAGGGGAGCTGTTTTCCTAGGAAGGGCTGGCTAGCTGGGGAAGAAGGCTTTGGTTTACAGCCACAGTCAGCTCCAGTCTATGCTGCTCATTTGGCATCAGGCTTTTCACATCAGCTCAAGGCAGAGCAGGAGCTGATGTCATCCTCTCAAGGGCTGTTACAAGCCTGAGCCCAGAAAATTCTCATTTCACCCAAAAATACCAGAAGATGGAGTAAGTGATGTGACAGACAAGGAAGCAGGGACGTCACAGTGAAAAAGGCCAGAGCAGCACAGCAGGACAAGGGCATAACCAGCACAGTTCAGGAGACCTGGAAAAAGGTGAACCTGGGCTGCTACAGACCATAGGGTGGCTACGGAGGAAGTTGGCTAAGGAACTGGTCAGATTTAAACCAGAGAAATTAAATTGGGCAATACACGTAGACAATTTCTCTTTTCTGCACTAGCAACGAAAGCAAAGTGCAGGTGAAGCACTTCCATTTGATGGAGAGTGGCTCAGGGCAGGCAGTGTGGCTCCACAGCCAGTCATGTGAATAAATCAAGTGAGACTGGAAGCCCACCAGAGCTTTATGAGCCATCTGTAGTGAGAGCAGCCTCTCTCTCATGGACTGGTTCTACTGGCTACAGGATCATTCAAAAACTGCTTCTGTTTTGATCAGATTTATAAAAAAATTGAGACAGGCCTGGGCTACTGTACTGAGACCATGGGGGACTGGACTGGTTCTAGAGAGCCAGAATGCCACTCATCACCTGCAGCCTTGTATTTAATGCCCAATTGCACCAGTACTGTGAGTGGCTTCCATTGCCAGGCTACAAGAGCTGGTGTTTGGACAGCAAAACAAACCAAGTGAACAACATCTGAGCAGAGCCATTACCATAATAAAGGCTTCGTTCATACTCTGCATCACAGGTTGGGATGGGTATGGTACTGAAACTTCAAAGAAGTACAACAAATTTCTATCCGATGGTGATTTTTAAGCATAAAAAAAACTTTTTCATGATCAAAAGCACCCAAGGAAAGACCTGGTTTACTGGTCTCCTGAAGTAGATGCCATACAGAACTCCTGAATGGGGGCATTTATTGATCTGATAACATAAAAACCTACCTGACCTCCATGAACCTGAATTCACGTCAGCAAGATCAATGGAAAAAGGTAACAGGCCTTTTCCATTACACAGCATCCTTAAGGCTGGTGGCAAGATCCAAGACTCTACAGGCTAACTCTTCCTGGGACTTGGAGAGCCTTACCTGTTGGCAAACTGGTGAATTTGAATGGGAAGAAAAAGGAAGACTGGCTGTGCAATGGGGACTCAGCTGTCTCCCTGACCAAATACCAAGAAGCACTGATGCACATGGGCAAGTCCTACTCCACTGAGAACTGTGAGGACAAAACCACCCTAATGAAAGTTTCACTTTAAATTTTGCCTCTTAGGTCAGGTTGATTTCCAATGATAAAATGACAAAAGTGCTTCAATTTTCTCTTCCTCCTAGAGCTATTCTTCCGAAGAATGCATTTTAGTCCTTACTGGGTATTAGATTACCAGATGCTAATGCACATCTTGTAGACATTCCAAAAAAATGTCCAGGAACACCCTGTGCATTTAATTCAAAATATCCCTGTCCAGGACAGACACAAAAGCCACTTCACAAGCAATGGAGATGCTTCAGCTTCTCAAGGCAGAGAATTGCCATTGACAAGGGAGCAGGTGTCACAAAGATGTCACTCATCTGGAGTGCAGCTCATCAGGAAAGAACACACTGGAGGTTCCCTCTGAACATGAGGGAACGCTTCTTGTGAGGAGGATTAACCACTGGCACAGGTGGCCCCAGGAGACTGTGGAGACTCTCCCTGGAGAGAATCAAAAGCTATTTGGATGCAGTCCTGGTCAAGTGACCCCACTTGATGATGGCTGGAAAAGGTGACCTCAGAGGTGCCTGCCAACACCCACCACTCTATGATGCAAATGCTGAAGATGTATCACATCTGCTCACTGCAGGGACAGCCAGCTCTTTATGCACCAGTGAGAGAGACTGACAAATGTCACCACCACCAGTAGATATTAGTGTGGCACACAGGACATATTTCCTACAGACCAGGGACTGACAACGGGGACAGATGTGCTCAGGAATGGCAGCACAGGCAAGGATTTCCATAAAAACAGTGTGAGGTGCATCAACAGCAAAGAGATCAAACAACTGAGCAAGGCATGTCAGCAATTCACAGCAGCCAGCACTGTGCTACCAACACATCCATCCCAGCTCTTCTCTGCTGCCAGCAGAAGTTCCCCATGGGCTGATTTACCCAGCTCCCTAGGCATGTTCTGCAACTTGCAATGAATTTTTCATTGAATAATTTTATCAAGTATTGAACTCGTTGGTTCAAACTTGGCTCAACTACACTTGCACTGTGTAGGAGTCACTCCTGAGATTCCAAGTCAGATAAGGCACTTTTCCTCTTCCCCTTTTGAAAAGAAACACAATCAGAACAGGTAATTTGAAGAGCCACTAGTGTGGTCATGGTAACTACCCAAACATTCACAGCTTTACAGGTACTGCTTCAAACCAGAGCAAGTGTAAAGCTTGTAGCAGACAGGCAAGAAAAGAAGACCATCTGTTTTCCAGACCTAAAAACCTCTTAAAGCAGCTACACTCAGGGCCAAAGTCTTGGGGGTCCCAGTGCAGCCCTGTGGGCTCAGCCCACAGCTCCTCTTTTCTCACAAGAGACTCAAGTGAAATGTTTGCAGAACACCTGTCAATCAACCTTTTTTTTTTTTCTTCCCCCATCTAGCAAGTACAGCCTTGAGAAGAAACACACAAGCATGAGCAGCCAGATCCTCTTCAATCACATCTCTGATGGCCGATGTGGACAGCTCTGTGTGCACTAGCAGGACTGGGCTCTCCTGGGTGCAATATGGAAAAACCAGCTGGTCTCCTGGGGCCAGTGGGAACCCCACAAAGTTCAACAAGTGTAAGATCCTGCACCTGGGTCAGGGCACTCACCAGTGATTCCCATGATGGGATTGAGAGCAGCCCTGAGGAGAAGGGCTGGGAGATACTGGTGGATGAAAAATTGAACATGAGCTGGTAACATGTGCTTGCAGCCCAGAAAGCAAACCATGTCCTGGCCACGATGCACTGAAGTCCCTGACTGCACAGACTGAAACACCACCTTACACTCTTTCAGCTTTGTTCTTGTCTCACTGACCAGGGAATTTAATCTCATCTAGTGAGTGCCAATGAGCTGAAGCAAAGTCCTGTACCTGGCAATCAACATGTTGCATGTTCCATCACAGAAATGTCCTTTCTGACTGAAGAACAGGCAGCAAATTATAAGGTTCAGGTGCTGCCTGCTGAGGGACAAGCAGCACCCAGAGAAGACTCTCCCTATCACAAAATGCAGAACAAGCAAGAGAAAATACAACTACAGAAATTTTGTAGTATTTTCTGCCTTTCCAAATCGAACTGCTGGTATTCACAAGGGCTGCCACAGGAACTTGTGCTCACAGCTACTTCCCTGACTGCAAGCTGGGACACTTGTCTGGCTACAAACTAAGACCTTGCATAATTTTGTCCAATTTGGTTTAGTATTCCCAAACTGTCAGGATCCCAGAGCTTAGCTCTGCCTCTCCACATCAAACACTCCCTGTTGTGGAAGGCTGCTTGCCTTCCCTCTGTGCCAGCTGCCCTTGCTGCTTCTCCTGGAGCTGCTTGGATCCTGCCAACCTTCTGACTGCACAAGCTGCCTATTCAGCATGTTAAACTCCTGTGAAGAGGCTCACATGGACATGTTTCACCTTTTAGGAGCAGGCAAATAAGATTTCTCAGCAGTTGCTCTATCCATAGCCAGAGAACCTGAATCCCAGCTCAGAGTAGGTAATCCCAAAAGGATTTCCTTACTTTTCACCTTGAAATGCTGGAACAAAGAGCTTTGTTTTATATAGTTTGCTGCAGATTTCCTGAGAGTTTCAGTCTTCACCAATGTCCCATGATCTTCATGATCCCATGATCCCCAAGGGGATGGTGCAGCAGTGACCTGGATCTTTCACAGTTATTTGAGAACTGATCTGATATGTAGACTGGGGAGTCAGACAGATCCAAACAGCATGCTGAAATTCCTTTTTTCCCTTTCTGTGCTTCTCTGCTGTCATACTTTGCTATCTTTAAAAGATTAAAATTCTACTAAATACTGGAACAAGTAATTAATAGGACAAGACAGAAAACTTTATGGAAGCCTCCCAGCTCAGCCTTTGTACCATTGAGGAACGTGACTTGGAACATCCCTAGGCAGTGAGGGACCAAGGAGAGGGGAAGGCTGGTTCCATCTCAGAAGCAAACAGGACTTATGCTGAAAGGAGAAAAAGGGGATTTCACTCCAACAAGAGCGATGCCAATGAAACCTTTCCTAGACAGAGCATGCAAGGAGACCTGGGAGCCCTGCCTGGCTGCAGGATGATGAGATTTTTGGACATGACAGAAAGTGCAGCCAAGCTGGCATTTGGGTGCTTTTATATTGTTTATGTATTTACATTTACACCCTGAGATATGCCCACAGCTGAAGGGAGGTGAGAGGCTTGCACAGCTCTGAGCATGTTGCTCATCAGCATCTGGCAAGACACTGTTTTGTCCACAGAGCTTCTGTCACACCAGCTGAAAGACTTACCACCATTATCTCAGCAAAGCCAGAAATTTCCAGCCAAGCTGAGGCTCCACACATGGTAGGAGCTTGTACTGTGTAAGCATGGACAATGCCTGCTGGCCCAAAATGGCTCTATGTTCAAAAAGATCAGAAAAAGCAGAGCGTGGGAAAAGGAAGGATTATTATGCTTATTTTAGAGAATGGGATTTAAACCAGAGGAGTGACCTGGCAAAATTACAGAGGCAGACTCTCTAGAAGCAGGAGTTGAATATTCAGACACAGTTTTGGGTTTTATCTACAACACTGACCTCTCTCTAAAAGTTTTCCAGTAAAACCTCACAAGACTGCACACACTGCTATGCCTGATAATCCCCAAAGACCACCTGCAGCCCTTAGGTCTCTATTTTCCTTCTTCTCCTGAGTAGAGGTACTGGATTTGTGCTGAAGTAATGGAAAACAGCCAAAGGCTCCATGTCTGTCCCCCTATACTGTGGCAGTTTCAAAATAGAGCAGTTACAGGAGCAGGGATAATCCAAGCCTGCAGAAGAACTACAAGAGGAAGGAGAAGAAGCAGTCAGATTTCAACATCCATCTTCTCCAAGCCTCCTGTTGCAAAGGGACCAAATGCTTGTTCAGAAGCACCCGGACACCTGGGTCTCCTGGCTAAACACCCTGAGTAAAAGTGGGGAATCAAGAAACATAACATGTTTCAATTTTCTCCTCCTTAGCACCAGCTTCAAATTACCAAGGGAAAAAACAAGGTAAAACCCAAACTGTGCTACAAGTGAAGCAAGTTTGGGGTGCCCACCTCTCTGAAGAGCGCGCCATAAAACTGAACAATATACGGGCAGTCACTGCTTCGCATCACTACATCAAGGTCCATCAGAAGCTGCTTCTGCTCCTTTTCATCCACTGTCGACCGAATTCTCTGAAAGAGGAAGAGTGGCAGAGACTTTATCACTTCCATGCCATTACTGTATGCTCAGCCCTGCTGATGGAGGCTCGTGACCAGGAGCCCAAACCCAAGCAGAGCAGGCAGTCCCCCAGGCATGCTCAAAACCACTCTGGAGAATCAAGCAGTGCTCTCAAATAAGAAATGTAACTGAACACTTCTAAAGCTGTTTAATCAGCCTATAAAACCCTCAGTCCTTGCATAAGCATCAACATTTTCAGATGAAATGTCGGGAAGAAATTAAAGAGCTGAAATTTCATTGAAAACTACAGCAAAACACCACATCCAGGCTTTCATTTCAAAACAAATTCCCACACAGTTCTTAGCCATGCTGGATGGGGCTTGAAGACTGGTTTGAAATTTAACCAAGGAACATTATGTTTAAAATTTCTAAGCACAGAAGCCAAAGGCTCCTTGCACAGCCTCCACCATGGCTGGGGAGAAGGGACTGCCACAGAAGCCAGGGGACAAATTTCCCTGGTAATGTTAATGATGGGCAGCAGTTCTGTGAGCTCTTCTCACAAAACTAACAATCCATTACCTAGTAAAGCTGAGGGAACATCAACACTGTATAGAAAATACTTTATACAGATACATACCCCATGTGTATATTGATATATATATGTATACACACATGACATTTCATAGATACACTATATGTTATGAAAAGTTTTCACTTGGGCTTCAAAGAATAATGCACATTTGAAAACTGAAAACTACATTTTCAAACATGAAACTGGTTAAATGAAGGATGGAGATGACCATCCTGTTTTTCATGTGATTTTACAGATATATTTAACATCTTGCACTAATTAATATGTTCTCTGAATCACAAGTAAGGAAATCGTGATCCTGAAGCTGTGATTCACGTTGAAAAACCATTAAAAAAATAAAAAATAAAAAATATCTGGCATAAAGTCCAAAGCAACAGAGGTAGCCAGGACCATCCTCAGCAACAAAAACTACATAGTTATCCAAGAAAGAGAAATTATTCAAGCTTGTAGAAAAGATCTGCAAGATATTAGCACCCATTTCACCAGTACTATGGCCCCGTGGGCAACTGCTGGTGGCATCAGGACCACACACATCAACCAGCCCAGGCCAGGTGAATTTCAAGGCTGGCCATTCATATAGCACCGCATGTCTAACAGTGCACCATTATGTACTTGAGGACTTCTTTTGTGATGACCCATACAAAACAAGGACAGTATCAACACTGTGATTTTCCTTACCTGTAGTGTATCCTGGTATTTTGGTATTTAACCACTTGTTAATGTTCTAGTACCTCTACTTTGGCCTAAACCAGTAAATAATATGTTTATATTTTTTGCCACCGTGTGAATTTTAGAGTTCTTGGGGACCTGTCAGGAGACTCATCCAGCACCCACAGTCTGTAACACCCGTGATGTGCTGAGCAGGTGGGGTTCTGTGTCACCAACAGAGCAAGAAGCAGCTCAATGGGCCAGGAACGGAGCTAAAACACTTCACCTCCAGGTCACTGGTTCAGGTCTGTGCCACACAAGTTCAGCCAGCCACTGGCTATTCCCTCCTCCTGTGCCCTCACCATACAAAGCTCTGCAATCCCCTGAGAGGCTGAAGGCTGAGCAGAGTGAATGTTTCTGTCCAAGTGACAGCACTGTGGGAAATGGAAATGTCACTGCCCTGACCTCCATGGGAGGTGATGGATGCCAAAGCCACTGTGGTGAGACCTAAGAACATTAATTCAGCCTCTCACTGAGACATAACCCACACTGAAAAGGTCACCTCTGGTGAGGAACCAAAAGCTTTTCTCCACATTGTATCCTCCTTCTGTGCCCACTCCATGTCTGTCTCCAAAAAGCCTCTGTCCTGGTCACCTTAGAGTTGTCCCAGCCCTGCCCTGCATTCCCCTTGCACCTGCCACAGCCAACCGCACAGCATCCACCTCAAAGTCCACAGCTTCTCCTGAAAGCATCTCCTCCCACCTCTGACCTCTGACCTCATTCCTCCTCTGCTGTCACTTCTCCAGCACTGGAAGCCATGTGAAATATACACTGTATGGTGGAGGTGATTTTAATGGCACTCCAGAAAAACACTGGAACCAAACGCTCCTCTCCTCAAACATGAGCAAGAAAGGGCTGGCAGAGGACCCAGAGCACAGACAGTGGGTCAGCTACAGGGCAGAGGACAGCTTGAGAAGCCAGCATGGACACTACAACAAACACTGCTTCAGGGAGTGAAAGGAATGCCATGATACAAGACTGGGAGCTCTCATAAAACAGCGCTGGAGACTGGCAAAGTCAAGAGAAAGGGAGAGCTCAGAGGAGCAGCATGCAGCACAGCACACAGACAGGGTCAGCCCAGGCTGGACAAGGTAGCTCTGTTTGTGCCAGGGAGCCTGCTGCAGCTCAGCACTCCTCCCAGTTCAGCAGCAGAACAGGAGGGTGAGGAAAGCTAACAGCAATCCCTACCCAAATAGCTTGTGATCCATGATACAACCTGCTACCTAAACCCAAGGCACAGGGCAAAGCAACTGCAGCTCCCACAGACACTCCCCAAGAACATGGGAATGGCAGGGAAGGAAGACACAAGGTGAGGCAGCTGCTTAAGGCAGCATTTCAGACAGGGATGGACAGGAGCTGACTTCAGGCTTTACAGATCTCAGCCCTGTCACCTTCCTGCAGTCACTGATAAGTGGCCCCACGGCCAAACAAGCCACGAATGGAAAAAGGGGGATTTGTAGTAGAAACTTATGGAGTTTCCTTTTTAACAATTCCTTGTTGGCCTCCAATTTAAACTTTATCAAATTGTCTAGGAGAAAATTTTCCAGCCCTTTTTAGTCAAACACAGATTAGGACAAAGCCTCCCAACATAAGGAAGACGAGCTCTGAAGCCATGCTTTGAGTAGCATCAACAGCAAAAGCAAAGTCTGTGCTGTGGATTGTGCCACCCTGAAACCTAAAACTAGGCAGATTCCAGAAACTTGACCCAAAACAGAAGAGATATCATCCAGCCCAATGTGCACACAGAAAGATTCAGGTGCAGTGTGAAGTGACCAGTTGAAAAAAAAATCTAAAAAAAAAAGAAAGAAAAAAAAAAATAAATCTGTAAACACCAAACTGAAACTCAACTCCTTGAGCTGTGAGACAATCCAGAACTGTCCTGAGTGCAGGGCTCACCAGTGTCCTCAGCAGAAAGCTCAGCACAGCAGTGCCTGGCAGTGCCGTGGGAGAAGTGGTCCTTCCATGGGATGGCAGGGATTTGGGACAACAAACCAGTAGCAAAAGAGGGTTTGCCCAGTCACTGCTGAGGATGGGAATATCTATCTCCCCATGTGAAACACATTTACTGCTGACTGAAGTAGATCACAACTAGTTTCCCACCTCCTGTTATGAGGCTCTAACTTTCACCGTTCCTTTTCAGTTGTAACTCATCCACTCCCTCCCCAGCTACCCTACCAGCAGGACTGGGAACACTGGTTTCCCCAGCTCTCAGCCAGCAGACCTAAACAAATGACTGAAACAGAAAATTCTGAGTGTGTCACTCACTTGTGGGAAGAAGTACAATGATGGTTTAGCAATAATAAAACCCCAAGACTTCTCTTTGGAAGTCATATGGACATGGGAAGGACAGAGAAATGTGCCCCTGGCAGGAGCTAAATATACAAATTTATCATTCTGATGGGCCTTTATGGGCTATCAGGCATCCAGGAAAGGATGGAAGGATCATGGAGGTATAAACAAATGTTAAATTTCTGCTCTCAGGGGCATTTGATACTTAGCAACCTCCTTCAGCTGTGAGACTGCCATTGAGAAACCAGAGAAAGTCAGACAGGAACTTCTGGTTTGAAGCTGTGGGTGAGAGAACAAGTGCTGACTACCAAAACAATGTACAAGAGACGCTGTGCTTGGAACAAGAAACAGCTCCAGGGCTTACTGGCTTCCCCAGAAGAACAGGGATCTTTCATGGGCCCATGGGCTTGACACCTCTGATTACCCAACTGATCTTGAAAATGCCTCTGATTTCCTTAGGACAAGTTTAGAGAACAATCAGAGCACATCAAAACTAGTATTAAACTAAAGAGAAAACAGGAAACCAGCAACAATGGCTGAGGACACTGTCTGGAGGACACTGACTGGAACTGGAGGATGGACTAGGCAATACTGCACTGGGACTAAGTCAGCTGGGCTGAGGATATTGGAAGACACAAAAAATTCCAGCCTGCAGCTGAAAATCACTTTATTTTGAAGTGGGGGAATCTGAACACTGTGAACAAAACCACCCTCTCCCCCAGCTGGGTTACTCCCCTCCACTTGTGTCTTGGTGATTTCTTTCTCAGCCAGCTGAACTGGTTGAAACAAAACTGGGAGAAGCTGCTGATGGTGAACCCCAGATGTCCAAGGTGTTCCCTGCTGCAGGGCAAAGAGGTGAGGAGCAGGTGAAGATCTCCTGCCTTAGCCTGAGGCTCAGGCATCACTGCCAGGAACACCAGATGCTCAGGACACCACTGCTGTGTTTAGGCTCCTAACCTGCACAGGAGCCACCCAACATATCAAAGGTTGACTATTTAAAATATGTTCTTATTTATTTTATGAACTTTTCAAACAAGCAGCTTTCCCAGCCTTCCAGAGGCACTGAGAAGTACCTGGCTAATAAAACCCACACCATGTACAGTATTTCAGTGCAAAGCAGAGCATCCTGCTCCAACTGGAAGAATCCTCCCCAGCTCTCATTCCAATTAGGGTTATTTTTTTGATTCCTATTCCAGGGACCATTTAAAGCATCTTTTAGGGTGAACTGTTACCAGGGCCAGAAGGAAACCTCAGGACAGAAATTACATCCCTCCATCAGCTGGGTGAGTTTCCCAAGAAAACATTTAATCCAAATAAATGGGGTTTCTCTGTGTGCCTCTAATTTGTGGTACCCTCGCAGAACAAGAGGCAGAGTCCCTGGAGCAGCTGGGACAACACCATGTGGTGATGCTGGGGGACAAATACAAAAAGGGCTGGAGAATTGCATGTACTGTGGAGCCTCTCAGACAAAACCAGGACAGCACTGGAGCAGATCTGAGGAGGAACCAGGGCTGTCTGCACAGTGGGAAGCCCAGGACAATGGTCACAATTCAATTACGGACTGCCACAGACTGGGAAAAACTGCACTAAAACAAGAAACCAGAAGTAAAATCAAAGGATAGTGGGTGGAACTGGAAGTCTGACCAGGCAAGATCACAAAGAGCTGGTGCAGCAGACACACACCAGGCAGGAGAAGAGATTTCTCCCAGGAAAATGAAGAGCCAGGAAGAGAAACCTGACAAGGTGAGGATTCAGCACACAAACTGGCCTTGCATTTATTGGTTTGCATAGCCAGATCTGACACTAGACAAAACTAGGCTGCTCTCCTTCCCACCTGGAAAAGTCTTGATCTCATATGCCAAAAAATCCTTAAGAAAATGAAAAGGGTATTTTCAGTGACAGGAAGACTGTGATGGCAGTTGACCCAGAGTAAAAAGCTGCAACTCCAGGAAGATCTGAAAGGAAACAACCTAAAGAATGAAAAGATTGCTTTTTATTTGGAAATAAAAATTTGGAAGACTAGGAAAACATAATGCAACATTTTTTAGGGGCAAAAATGAGAAAGGTTTGAACATAAATCCTCTTGAGCTGGATCCCTCTTTCCTTCATGCTCTCCCCCTCCTCCTGATAGCTCTAGGAAACAACTCTCTGTGGCAGAAAGCATAAGGGGTGCACAAACAACTGCAGGTTGTCCCTGCTCCTGCAGCCCACACCAGCCTTCAGCCTATTACCAAAGAGCGACAGAATGTCTTTGTCATTGAAAGAATATTCACAGAGAATGACCAAGGCTGAAGGAGAGGGAGGAACAGGACTGGGGACAAGAGCTGATCATCCCAGCCATGCATCACCAGCTGAAACTTTGCTGCAGTGGTTTTAGCCAGTGACACAACGAGGCTCATTTCAGGCTCATTTTCCTCCTTTGCTACTGACTCTGGAGCACAGATGAAAAGCCTTCTGACTCACCCAGGGCCCTGGCAGCCCAGCCCATGCCAGTAGACTCATTAAAGGTGCCAGGATTACATCTGCCAGGACCCATGGGCTGACAGACCAAAATGAGTTACAGGGAAAAATGAAAGAAAACAGTGCCTCCACCTGCAGATCCCTAGTTATTTTGGTGATATTTCAGCCCTCAGGAATTATTTTCCTTCAGTGGTAAGAAAAACTGGATGTGCAGCAAAAAACAGCTGTGCTGGGAGAGTCCTGGGGGCACAGGAGCCTGTGTGCCCTGTGGCACTATTGCCACACACACCAAACAGGAAAGCTTAGGAAGCTTCAAGGAACTGTTCCTTGGGCAGAGGCAGGACAGGCTACAAAAAGCAAGAGAAAGGAGCTGGGAATAGGATTTGAAGATATGCTCTGGCAGCCACACCCTTTGAGGGGAGCAGAATGAGTGACCAGAGGTGCCCAGCTGGCCTGGCACAGCAGGAGCTGCCTTCAGTCAGAGAAGACTCCAGCAAGGGGAAACGAGTGATGTTTCAAGCTGCACACTTGCAGAACAAGGAGGATTTGAATTTCCCTGTGGTAGAATGTTGTGACAAGCCTGGTCATGGTAGCTACAAGCAGGACACAGCCCATCCAGAAGTGGGGTAGGAATTTCCTGACTGTGCTGGGAATTTGCAGCAACATTAGTGGAAATCTGGGGAGTGGTGGAAAAGGATGGAGGAGCAGTTGGGACAGGCCCCCGGACCAATTTTCTCTGCATCTAGTGAGCAGTACAGAACAGTCAACTTTTGGCTTACAATTTCCATAAAGCTGTTTCCTTGTGCTGGTCCCTCCAAGGATGCTTGGCCTGCTGCACTGGTGATGCTCCTGGGGAAGCACAGGAGGGACAGCAGCTCAACAAATACCCAGACACTGGCTCCACAATCCAGCTGTGAGGAGATCCTGTCACCTGCCCCCAGCATGGTGCCACACCACAGAGCTGCAGGTGCCATGGAGATCATAGCCAAGACCTCACTAAACTGACACATTTTCACAAAACACAATTTCCCTTCTCAAACTTCTTACAGAAGAGCTTTATGCTGAAGGAGAACACACAGCTGAAGGCAACAGTTCCACAAGACCACAAAGCTTGAGAGAGAGAACAGAAGGGGGACAGTCCCCAGCATGGGAAGGTTAAGATAGAGGAGGAGCAGAAGATTAATGCACAATCATGGCTGCCCCCAGGAAGCTGAGAAAGGATAATCTGAGGAGTGTGGGATGAACTAGCCACTAGCCCAAGCTTAGCCCCATCCTGAAACCTCATCTCAAAGAACTGCACCATCCAGTCTGGGGAATTGCTGCTGCTGCTGTCTTGGAGGCCTCACTGACTGTTCCACCCACAGGCCTTCCTTTGCTCAATTTTGTGTTTTCTCCCCACTGGGACAAACAGAACAGTTGCTTACCACTACTGTTTTGGAAATGATGCTGTTGCCCAAACCCTCCAACCTTTCCTCCCCAGCAGGCCCAGCCATGTCCACCCAAAAGAAACAGGGTCAGAGAAAAGAAGGTGGCACCAGTTCAGCCCACAACTTTAACATTTCACAGTTTAGTCATTGTAAACAAATTGGATTTACTTTTTTAAAAGTAAGCCCCAAGCCCAGAACACAACTCATCCCTTGGGAAAGCCAGCTCAACATGCTGCACCATGCCATCTGCAGCCGTGTGCTCCAAGGACACAGAACTGGAGCCTTCTGCCTCCCACATGGCTGTACCTGCACCACGAGCCCTCAACAGCGACCAGGCTCACCTAGGGTGCTGAAAAGTCCTCGTGCAAACAGTGTGGGACAAGAAAACCCCTGTGCCAGCAGGCACATCTTCTCCTGACACAAGCTACTCCCTTCTCTGCACGGCTGTAGCCACTGCAGAGCTCCAGGAAACAGCCGCTCAGCTCTGGGGGTGTGCCCCCTTCACACCCTTAGCAAAACTACAGGTACCCAGGCCACACACCTGAGTCTGAGAAGATGGAGGTGTCCAGGGATCATTTAACTACACCAACGTTTTTCAACCTGTCACCTGCAAACTACACTTGTGAGCTCTACCAAAGGTAGACTGAAAGAAACCGGCCTTTAGCTACAGGCAACCTCTAGTACCACTGTAGACTCTAAGGGATTCAAACCCAGCCTGAAACAGCACTGCATGGTCATCAAAAACACTCAAGAGACCTAAGCAGTGATCCCAGCACTGTGAGGAAGTCAGTAGTTACTGGAGAAGATCAAAGGATGGGGGTTACTCCAGTAACCTGACACACTAGAGACAGGTAGGAATCACAATCAGAGCAGCTGGAGCTGGGCCTGAGCTATGTCTGCCTGGCATGTGAGGCCAGCAGGGGCAAATGTTTCCAGACTGGATCAGGGAACATTCTGAAGAAGACAGAGAGTTGGAAAAGACAGCAACACAGACTCCTGCATAGCTCACTTTGCTTTTTCCCGGGAGCCATGAGAGCACCTACAGTTGATACCATTGACAGAGTTAAGAGACAGATGTCATTAGCAACCTGCAGTGAGCAAAGGAAAGGACCAGAGAGACAGAGAACAGCTGCAGCCCACCTCCATGGACAAGCACCTCCTCTAAGATGCCCAGTGAGCAGCACTGCTGTGGCAAGACAGATAATTATTGCTCAGCTGGGAGAGGAGGCTGTTCCTGGTTCTAAGGTGAGTATTTGGGTAGCATAAAGTAGAAAATGGACAGTCAAGAAACCTGCTGCACTTTCCACCTCCAGGACAGTCTGACATGGTAAGCACAAAGCAGACAATCCATCATACATCAGCAAGAGCACAACATTCCCTAGAAGACATCCACTCCATTCCAGCTCCTCCTGGTGAGGCCACACCATGGCACATGCTGACATTAATAGCTAATTTCAAGCCATTACTTTATTTCACAAAAGACACTAAGAAGCTATGAGATGTCAAGTAGTGCCTACCACCAGCCTAGGCTGTACCTGAACCAGTGACCCAGAGGTGAAAGGCCCGTGCCCCATCATCAGTCTCCAGAGATGTGTGATCCCCTCACAACAGCAGGTTCCTGATAGACATTTTGAAAAGGGCACAGCAATTATGAGAACTTCACAAACCACCTGAAAACATGCCCATTATACACTGTATTTTCAGCAAACAGTAGCCTTTACACCAGAAATAAATAGAACAGAGCAATTAGATGGGTGCTAGATGGAAGAACCTTAATTCTCCATCACACTGCATCCCAATGGACTGAAGTACAAATGTAAGGATGGGCATCACCTACTTTAACTGCCATAATTTGCCCACTTGGTTTGTGGACCATTTTGTTGACAGAACCATAAGCGCCTCGTCCAATTTCTCCAAGGTCTTTCAAGTCCTCTGCTGTAAAATCCCAATGTTGCTCAGGGGAAATCTTCAATTTTCCTGATGATTCAATGCTGTGTGTTCTCAGTCTCTCTCTGTCAAAAATATTGGGAAGCAATTTTTCCACATTTTAAATAGTCTTTAAATGTCTCTTTTCAGCACTTGATTAAACATTAGAAGAGAGGGGTTCACAAAGCTACAGCAACAATCTGACTCCACGAAGGATTTTGGTTGGGGTGGGGGTGGAGGGGTGAGGGAAAATGTTAAATCAAAAATGACATACACTTGCCCACAGCTTCATTTAAGAATAAGTTTTCTCCAGCTGCAGCATAAAATTCAATATGTCTCATAGAGTCATTCTAAGCACTCATTTACACAGTTCTTTCTACTTTGCACAAAATATATCAGGCTGAGAGCAGGATCTGGTAACATGCAGCACCAAGAGCCTGAAGAGCACTCCCAGCCCCATCTCCCCAAACCTCCTGCTGCTCTACACCACCACATCCCAGCACCTGCCTCCCTCCCAGCTGGGATTCTATCAATACAGACAAAGCTCTTCTGGGTGAACCAGTGAGACTTTAGGAAAAGTTTGCCCTTAATGGAAAACTGCAATTAAAAGAAAGAAAATAACCCAAAACCCCCAAAATGCAATACATTTTGATAATAATTTAATTTATCCAAAACTGAAAAAAGAGCCAAGAAATTATAAAAAACCAAGACAAGTTCTTTGTGACACATGAAAATAAAATCTGCCTGTTGAGGTGTGTCTTCACCAAGCACTTAATTTAACTTTCTCAGGCAAACCCTGCCCCTACTGAAGCCACCAGGATTTGCCCAGGTAAGGAGCAGATGAATGTCCAAAATTTGTGTACAGAAGAGTTCAAAGGTGCCCCCCAATGGCTCATTCACATGCAACAATGCTACCACTGAATTAGCAGGAAATGCACAAGTATTTGCAACACTTTTCATCTTAAAATGCCATGCAAAATTTCAGTTTTTCATTAGTTATTTAGCTGATTCACACTTCTTGAGTCATAAAGTAAGCCAAAAGCCCACGTTTTCCACTTTCAAGATGCATTAAGAGCAATGCAGACGATTCCCACTGCAGGACACACTGATCCCACATGGATTTTAAAGCACACAAGTACTTGTGACCACCCTGTGTACAGGAAAGATCTATCAAACTCACTGGATATTTGATCCAGCCTCCACTTGCCTGTCCAGTGTCTGGCCCAATGAGCAGAACACACATGGAGGATTTGACCAAACACATGGAGTTTATTGAGTTTATCAGCCGAGGAATAAACAGGTCATGGCTGATTCCACGCTGATAAATCCCATGTTGGTCACCAGCAGCTGCAAACACCACCCAGCTGGGGACCCAACCATGATGGGGTTTTATTGGGAACCCAGGTTTTGAGAGGGCAGAAGGCCAATTGACTGGAGCAGCTACAGTTCAAATGGCTTCCTCTGCTGCACTTTGGGTTAGTGCTGCTGATTTGGAGCAGCTGCATGTCCTGAACCCTTGACCAATTTGATGGAAGCATTTGGGAGCAGCTCCTCTCCCCACTGCTGGGCTGTGTCTGCCATGGTGTTTCCTGCTCTCTAACCTGCCCAGCTCAAGATTTAGACCAGCTGTTCCCTACAGTGCTCCTACACTGTGCTTAGGAATGATTTGGGAAACCACCTGCTAGAGCTACAACACAGCCCAGGTGGGATGGATGCCACCTCACAGCTTGTGTGCATAACAAACCCTGCATTCAGAGGGGTTCTCCATGGAAATTGCTTACTATAAAGCGAGGAATGGAAAAAAAGGCAGATAAATGACAAAAAAGAAAAGAACAGAGGAAAAAAGGAATGAGAAAAAAAAAATGAAAAGAAACATAACCTCCACATGTGCCAAGTGTCTCACAGACAGCTTCTGTTGGGAGCTTCTGAACTGGTTTCTGTCTAACTGCTCCACCATCCTGTTTTGTCAGTGCCATAAAAATAGTTCTTGTTTTGAGGGAGGAAGGGAGGTGAGAAGCACCATGCCAAGGAAGCACAGACAAATGGGCATTTCCTGCCTCACCTCCTGCCAGCTGGTGGGCATGAAGGAGCATGATCTTTGAGAGCTAAATCCTCTTCAAAAAAGCAGAGGAAAAACAGCAGAGAAGTGAAATGTTGAGTTCTCACTGACTGAGCTCCTTTTCCAGCTCTTATTTGAAAATAACATTTCACGTCAAAGTTCTCATGGAATGAAAAAGATTTACACATTGAGGTAATTTATTCAAATAAGCAATTAAACCCTTCACCTCTCCTTCCCTCCGCTTTTCAGACTAGGAAATTTTGCTTTTCTGACCCTACACCAGAAGAGAAAGCAAATTGGAATTCATTATTTCCCTGTCACACAAGCAGCCTGTGTGTCCCCAGCTGTGGCGTGAAAGCGGATCTGGGCCATTGTTCCACAGCTGCAGGATGGAGCTGGGGAATATCCCCTCCTCCCCAGGGCTGCACCGAGGGCTCTGCAGCTCTCCAGGGCTTTGGATCAAGACAGGCCATTACCATCCACCCCCAGACCATCCCCTCTTGGAGCTTGGCTTCATTTCCATTATGTATTTATGATGCCATCTGCCTTGTCTCGCAACCACAGCTCCTGCTTAGCTCTTCTCAAATACCCAGGGAAATGGTCACATAACCAAATTACCAGTTTGACAGAGTGACAGATACTTGAATAGAGGTTTTGCTCATTTAGCTGATTTGCCATATGCAAGCAGTGCAGTTTTCCCTTAAGCAGCATGGCCCACCTCAAGAGTCATAACTGGAATGCAAGAATTGCTTTGAATGTCAAAAAAACTGTGCTTCCTATCAGGAATTTTTCAGTGTAAATCAAAATGCAAATCTAGAACACAGACTCTCAGCACTGATCTAAACTGGGAAGTTTTTGATGTAAATCTGAGTGAGGCAATAAATCTAAATTGCCAGTGCAGGACATCTATCTGTATGTTTGTACTGCTGCAGGTGTATGAGGACACAGATCCATAGGGTGGACATGCCTCCAAATGGAGGCAAAAAAGGCTGCCTAAACCCTAAACTACATCCTGGTGCTCTGGATACTACTAGCCTGCTTCAGAGAATAGCAAGACAACCACACAAGCCCAGGGTATAGTGAAGGTAAAAGTAGCTAGTGCCCAGTCCCTGGAATCAGTGCACATCAGAGTCTGCACTGAAGTCAGCAGATATGTGCCTTCTCTTACCACTTCATTTTTAAGCTGTACAATCCAACCTTCAACCTTCTCTAAGGCTGGGAATTTTTGGCAAAATTGGACATACATTCTCCAATTGCCCAGGACGTCGAAGATGGACTTGTGGGGCTTCGTATATGATTTAAAATGATAATATAACTAGCTGAACTGGGCTAGATATTCTTTGAATGCTTAAAAGCAGCCTTTCCCAAAGCACCTTAGAGTGACTACAGCTCCTGCCAACTCATCCAGGGCTTGAGCTTCCAACTCCCCATCTCGCTTTTGAAAATTTTTGAAAAGCAAAGAAAAAAGGGGCTGAGGAGGTGGCTGTGATCCTTGTGTTTGAAAGGCACCAATGTGTCTGTCTCACTGCAGATGGTTACTATGCTTGTCACAGCAGTTATTGCAGGGATTAGGAGCACCAAGCAAGACAACAACTCCCCCAAACAGTTGTCCTTTGTCAGAGCTGTGTCCAGCTTGGCAGGAGGCGGGCGGGTGCTGGCGCCAGGCACCGCCGTGCCCGGCATGGCCACGAGGCTGCTCACCACAAGCTGCACAGCTGGACACATCTGTGATGGCCAGAGGACCTCAAAACCTCCTGTGGAGACCCACGGAGACCTTGGGAAACTCCCAGACAAGCTGTGCAAGTTCCCTGAGCCCTACTGTTAACAACCAACTGCAGGGAGGCCACAACTTTTAAAAACAAGCATTTCCTTGGCATGAAAAAGGAGGACTGTTGAAAGAAGCAGAGAAAAGTTGGTGGGTTTTTTTAAGCAAAATTGAAAGTCTCCAGACATGAAGCAAGGCCAAAAAGATGCTGTAGGTAGCTAACTATCTCCTCTGTGTCACTTTGCTGAGAACTCTGCAGGACTCAAAGAAGCCCCAAAGTTGACATACTCGATGGTACAGCTGACATGAGTAAAATCTGCAGAAGCAAAAAGATCCAAGCGAACCAGCTGTGCTTCCCAAGCCTGCCTGGTGCTGGATTCTGCTCAGAAGTCTCTCATTAAAGATCCTATTTTCACTAGGGTTAATCAGAATATACTCTAATTCTCCATAGTTTTGGTAAAAAGGCTGAAATTTTGAAAACTGATTTGTGGTCCATCAGCCAAAGCTAAAATATAAATCCTAACAAAAAAGCTTCCAGGCAAACTGCAGGGTTCAAATGACACTGTGCAACTTCAGAGCACAAACACGGTTCAGGACTGTGGCCGACACATTCCTACCAAAACTTTCAGACAGCCTGGAGAGGTTTTAGAGAGCTTTGTTTCTTCTATATCAAAGTCTATGTCATTTCTAAAATCATTTTCAGACCCTGCAGGCCAGCACTAATACCGTATCAACCCTAGTTTGAATTTCACTAGCAAATGCCTCCAGAAGAAATGTTCCAATTTTTTACCTAAAGGGTGGAAATGTTGGTGATGTAACAAAGTTTTCTGGATTCTCAAAAGAAGAAATTTTTGTTTTTCATAAACAAACAGCATCCTTGCAAGAGGGGCAGAACTAATTTGGGTTTTCTCTAATCCATGTAAGCTGTCCTGAGGCTTCATTATATTCAGGAACAGATTCCTAGACATGAAGAAGAGATAGAGAAAATGTGGCAAAAGAAGGAAAGAGTTTTGCACCTGTGACCTACCCAGACTAAAGCAAAGCACATTTGCTCCCTTTCCTTGTGACCAAGAGGCTGAAATTCTCCCTAGCACTGCTCTGGCTTTTTAGGCTCCTCCAGAATGTTAAAATAAAGATAATAACAAAAAGTGGAAGATGGCACAGCCCCTCCACAGCCCACGTGTCTCAGCCCAGCATGTGCTGAAGGCTGCTACGAGTCTCCTTGGCTTCAATGGGGCTTGGCTGAGGCTTTTAAAATGTCA